TGTTCCGATTTTGCCACCCATTGCCCTTGGGGCCGGGACCTGGCAGAGGCATCCGCGATCTTCGAGAGCATCGTGGCGTCGCAGTCGGACAAGCGACTGGCCAAGGTGCCTTGCTTCGACCGGACCTCTGAGCTGCTTTGGAATCCATGAACCCGCAGGTGAAAAGGGCCCCTTTGGATCTCTTTGGACTTCTGGTATGAACAGGAGACGGATATGATGCTTTCTTTTGGCTGTCATTCTGCAATGCCACAGATGCCCTGCGGAATTTGCATTGCCAACTGCCGTTCGGGGCCCGAAACGGGTTCCGGTTCCCAGGCCAGCGGTGCGGGCCTTAAACAAATAAACATAGAAACAAAAGCATCCTGACCGTTGGTCAAACACAATTCATCGAACCTCCCCCGAACTTCCAGAAAAGAAAAAACGCAGAAGAACATAAAAACACTCCAGGGCCCCGAATTCATAGCTAACACGTGTTGAGACAGCGTTGGCCAGCCAACCCTGGCCATCCGCTTGCGGCTCTGGGCGCTAAGTATCAAGTGGAACTTCTCATCCTGCAGCGTCTCCGCGTGCTTCGCCGAGAAACGGCCCAAAGACCTGAGAGCCGCCTCAAAGGTCCTCGCCATAGCCCTACGTTGGAAACACGGGGGCGTGAATGGCCTGTCAATGGGCAAAGTTCTGCGAAAGCTTCGCAACCACGGAGACGACAGAGAGAGAGAGAGACACAGAGATAGCGAGAGAGAGAGAGGGAGAGAATGAGAGAGAGAATGAGACAAAGAATGAGAGAGAATGAGAGAATGAGAGAGAATGAGAGAATGAGAGAGAATGAGAGGGAGAGCGAGAATAAGAGAGAATGAGAGAGCGAACAAAATGTTGAGTGCGAAACAGTTGGGATAAAGAGAGTACTGTGAGCGTTGAGAGCACTTTTTTGCATGCCGTGTGGCTGTGGAAAGTCTGGATTGTCACAAAGCCTCACCATGTAGTTACCCAAGACGGGTCGAGAAGTTTTTGGAGAGCCCACCCTACCCGGGCACACACGCACACACACACACACACACGCACCACCCACACACACACACCCACCCCCACACCTCCACACCTCCACACCTCCACACCCGCACCCGCACACCCACACACCCACGCACCCACGCACCCATGCACCGACGCCCGCACTCCGCAGGCCTGCCCGCGCGCACGCACGCACGCACCTTCCTACCTTCCTCCCTCCCTGGCACGTTCATACAGCATACCGAGTAAAGTGTGTCAAGTACCCTTTTCGGGTTAAGTCGTGCGCACGTGCCTCGAGTTCACAACTGTACCTTCGCGCATCGAGTTCGCAGCTGGCACGGAGGAAGCGACGAGAGAGACAGAGAGAGATGTGTGTCTGTGCTTGTGTGTGTGTGTGTTTCTTTAACCATGTGAATGATTCGGCGCGGCTTTGCATGCACTCTTCGTCTTTCTCGCTCGCGCGTGCAAATGATAGCTCTCGTCACGCATCATGAAGCCAATATGGCAAATTGCAACGACTCGGCATGCCCAAGCTGGTGTGCTCTGCAAACAAGCGCAGCACAACTAACCAGTGCTTCACGTGCTTGCGGAACACACTGCACGCGGGCGCATTCACCCACAGATCAGTCCTTAAGTCGGAATCCTTGTTCTTATCCTTAGTTGCTCAGCCGTGGTCCACGGGCAAACAGCTGGAAGTGCAAGTCCGAATGTGGCCCAAAACCAATGATTGCCAGATGGCCCCCCTTGGCTAGGGACAAAAAGAAGGCCACACAAACACAGACACAGACACAGACACAGACACAGACACAGACACAGACACAGACACAGACACAGACACAGACACAGACACAGACACAGACACAGACACAGACACAGACACAGACACAGACACAGACACAGACACAGACACACACACACACACACACACACACGCACACACACACACACACACAAACACACACACACACACACACACACACACACACACATCTTTCAGTTGAACACTACCGAAATCCAAGGGACAACCACCACTGAAAAGCTGGCCAAAGGCCGAATTGAAACGGAAGGCCAAATGGTAACCGCCTGGAAACCCTCCTCAGGAAGGACCTAAACCTTTAAGCCGGTCCCTTGCAAAGAAGGACACCTAGAATTGGCGAGTCATAAACAATTCCGCTTTCATTCCTGGGAATCTGCGCTAATCCCCCAAATGGTTTGGCCTCAAACGGACACCACGAGAGTCCAAAGACTTAAATGGACAAGGGGAAACCGATTCTGCAAACACTAATTCAATGAGGGGTCTGAAAAAGTGGCATTGGTTTTCGTGTAGGTAAAATCAACAGCTGCAAACGTGAAACAATTGTAACCGTCTCTTTCTCGCTATCTCCCTCTCTCTGTCATACATAGGCGTCGGATGCCGCAGGTACCTTCAGCAACAAGAAAGCAGTTGTGCGGCAAAGGAGAAATACGCAGAGCAAGCAAACTGCTTTGGTGCGGCCAAACTGCGCGTCATGAAGTTGCAACAGTCTTCGGCCAATGGTATCTTCAATGAATAAAACAGTCACAAGCAATCATTTTCACATGTGTCACCTTCCCGGGCTGCGTCACTGTTTATAGACGTCTGTAGTGTTTGCATAAGTCTGCTGCGTTCACTCACTGGTTTGTCATTTGTTGTTGGTTGTTGCCACTTTCGGCTTCCAAACCTGCACTGCAAAGAGTCGACATGTTTCCCTGTACTCATTGGGATTGGTGCCAGGAACTTCAAACAAGGCCGATCACCAAAAAAGGCAAACAAACAAAAAGACGACAAATAAACAATCAACAAACAAAGACACCAACAAGCAAAGGGCGCCGAACAGCCGAGGCGCCATGAAGTCCAAGATCTCCTTTGGATCTTCGAATGTCTGCACGGATACCGTGCGGTCAATACTGTCCAGGTACCATCTGGTGCTCAAAGCGCCCCACCTAACGGAAAAAAAAAGAAAATAAAAAACTGTGGGACTTGGGGTTCCCTAGAGGTAAACATATCTGACCGACAGTTGCAAAAAGCCAAACACTAAATACGCTATGGGACTAGCAACATGGAGGTGTCGTAGCGGGAAAGGCTATAATCTTCGGTGTATGCATATATGCTTGGCTTCCACTTGATTAAATAGCTCCCCGAGAACAAACCGAGGCGCGTCCCTGATTTCGGGCAACACAATGTGCATTAACGTCAACACTACATTCATTAATTACTGCCGCAAATCCTGGAACATCACGGTGTTTTGGTTTCCCAGTCTGCAATCATTGGTTGCCCATAGGGGCAAACGTGCCACACAGGAAGCCCCACTATGTGGCGGTTTGCCGGAGGAGGAGAAAAGGACTACCCTGAATTGATTTTCTGAGTGCCTGCCACTCTTGGAAGCTCGGGTAAGGACAACTCCGTGACTCATAAACTTCCTCTCTTGGCGGATTTGCCTGGAATCAAGACATCTCCACGATTGGAACATGTCCCCAGGTTTATTTTTGCGGTTGGCCGTTCTTCGGTGGAAACTCGACTAAACGAAAAGAACCTGGCCCCTGCAAAGCAGTTGGCTTCTCCAAAGAAACTTCAAGAACAGCGCTAGCACATTTCAAGCAGGCGCTTCAAACAAATTGTTGGGTCTTCCTTGAACAGTTCCCTGGTTGCCTGAATTGAGCGGCACCCAAGCGACCCCGTACCATTTGGACATTCTTGCGTTTGGGTGGCAAGACCTCCCTCGAAATTGGCGGTCAAATCTGTTTCAGTCAGGATTTCCAGAATACCCAGTGCCACCCACCCCCGCGCGCGCGCGACACGACCACCACCAGGCCTCGGGGCCAGCCGCGTCAGCACGCGGGGCCGAAAGAGAACCGCCATGGCTTGAGCCAATGCCTTGCCGGCACCCTGAGCCCGGGCCTAGCTGAATGGCTTGGTGTCTCAAATGTGGCTTCCTTGGTTGACCTTCTCAATTTGCACATGCAAAGGTCGATCCAGCAATTGAGCCGCACTTGATGCCTCAAAAAGTGGCCCAGGGCCTAGGGCCCCTCCAAGCTGTTGGCTTCTGGTCTGCTTCTAGCCCCATTCAAACGAACCCGCCTGATGCCATTCCACGCACGACACTTTTAAAGGCGCCCACCGAAACATCCAAATGCAACCGCCTGGTTTAGGTTCAAGGATGAGGCAAACCTGTGTGTATGCCAATGTCATTTTTGAAAGGCTGACTCTGCGCTTCTGTATGCGGATCCATGGCTTGTTGGACCCCTTCGGGGGCTGGCTTGCCCCCGAATGAACTATATATCATTGTGTTTACAAGCCCTTTTTAGCTCACGCTGTGGAAAAGGGCGCGAGGGAACTTGCGCATGAACATGTTTCGAGGCCGCGCTCGGACACGTGGAGGGCATGCATCCATTTCATGTTCCACAAACGTGCGCACGCAATGTCCAAGCACATCGTCGAAGTCCAATGATCATGCCCCACAATTTCGCGCATGCACATTCCTGGATGCCAGACTGCCTAGCTGACTGCCGAATGAAGTCTTTGCAGCCAAAGCCAAAGAACCAGGACCCGTTTGACTCTACGTACGCCTTCCAGTGGATTTAGCATGAAGCCAACCGGGTGGCTCGCTTGATCTGCGGCTCGGTGCCCGTGAGGGGTTCCAAACTCTCCTGCGACCATGAGCTAGGTATAGATTCATCATTCAACAGTTGAATTTCGGAAAGCCACGCCTCTAGTCATGTTATCAGCTTCATTCACAAGCTGAAGAGTTTCGCATCTTGCATCGAACCGACATGTCCGAACCATGTCCAGCACAAACACACAGGGACACACAGAGACACACACACACACAGATGCACCCACACACACACACAAAATGCGCTTGCATGGGCACGCGTTGCCTTCTCCATGACACTATGTAGTAGCATCACGTGTCACGTGTCAGGTGAGCCTGTGTCAAGTGTCCTGACACCCTGATGCGATCCGCCGCAGGCCCAGCCTGCTGCCCATGACCTTGTCCACCATTCAAGAAGTAATTCCTGAAAACTGCGGCTGCCTGGCGCAACCAGCGCGGTGCACCCAATCTATGGCCCCCTCCCCCCTCCCAAGGTTCCAGCGTTTCACTTACTGGTACCTGCTAGCTAGCCGTGCGAACCTTCAAACCTTTTGAGAATCTGCCCTTCGCGATGTTGGCCATACATCCTTGGCCACGCAACTCAACGGAACTTGCTGGGAGTGCAGAGTCTCAAGCAGACGACGCCAAAGCCAAACCTCAATCACCAGCTGGCTTCTTGTGTACATATGAAAAGCCGTCAAAGAGTTGGCTTGCGTTTGGCTTCCTCATGAACAAAAACAACTCATGAGAATGCGTGCAACATCCTGCAACTGCACCAGCCGGAAGCTGCTCAAATCGCCGGACTTTCTGGACATGCCATCGAAGAAACCTCAGCGACAGCAGCAGCAGTCGCCCAAAGCTGGGCAACCGGAGGTGAGGGAGAGAGCGCGACACAATCATGCACGGAAAGGCTTAAAGCGCGACAGCAAAGAAAAGAGCAACCGCATCAGCCAATTCCTCTCCCTTTGCATAGAAAATTGCCGAAATCACTGCTTGATGCTGCAAATGCCAACTGACAGTCCGACATCTATGTATGTGAAGCAACGGCTGCAGTAGCTCTGTGGGGAACCCCTGGACCGCAAGCGTGCGACTCGTGTGAAAAAAAGGCAGTGACTTCTTACATCGGCAGTCAACCAGAAGCTTGGTCAGAGTCAGATCCATAATTAACTTGCCACAGCCGCTGAAGGCAACCCAACAAAATCATCATCACAAGATTTGCGAGGGTTGCTCTGATAACCTTCTTAACGAAGACAAACTGGCCAGTGGCGCCCCTCCCATGCATCACAGTTTGCTAGAAACCAGTAACTGGGGAAGGGCCTGGAAAGGAAAGATACTATTTTGGGGTCATGGCGCAAAATTGACCGAAGCAAGTGGTCATGTCAGTGCTGGGCAAGTGCACGGTCCAAAAGGCCGGAACTGCCCGGTTGGGTGAAAGCATATGGCACAGATTCCCAATGACGCGTCATCCCGCTCACTTCCACACCTAAACTGCACAACACACGGGTGAAACAACAGCCAGTTTGCTTGGAAGACTTTTGCACAAATAGATGGCACTGATGATCATTAGTGTGCTATCCCAAAAGGGACATTCTTTCGAACCAGCGCCGTGCATGTTCAACTTCACTGATCAATCATCTGACACCCACAGAGTGCTGAGACTGCGGCCGCGCCCTGGGTGGCCATGTCGGCATATCCTGAATGCACGGGGATACTTCCGGCTTGAGTATCTGAGAATTGGAGACAAAGCCCTTTCGAGCCAAGCCATTCGCGCCAGTCTCCGATCAAGGTTGCCGGAGAAACCTTGAAAACAGGATGCCACGTTCCATGTTCCATCGCAACGGCTTCCTGCGCAAGTTGTGCATTCATCTGCGCGACCTAGTAGAAATCGCAACTTCAACCCGAACCATACAGGAGCACACAAGTACGGGGCATACGTCTAGGTGCAGTTGATCCAGCCATGGCAGCTCCAGCCAGCCCGTCCTGTGATGCCATCCTCTGGCTGACTGCCCGGCTCCTTGGCACGAGGCCTGTTCAATGTGGGTCTTGCACACAGGCAGCTGTCATCGAATGATGGGTCGACTTATGGAGACCCAACAATCAATCTTGTGGACAACCCCCAGCAGATTATGCAAGAAAAAACTAGCAGCTAGCCGGGATGACTTGTGCCCACGAAATGTTTCTTTTTTGGTGGCACGCCTTCTAACACACATACATGCAGACACCCGACCCTGGACAGACAGACAGACAGACAGGCCCATCAACCAAATCAATTAGTCAAACAACCAATCAACCAATCAACTCAATCATTCAATCATTCAATCAACCAACCAAAAACTAATCCGTCAATCCATCCAGCCACCCATCCATCCGTCGATCGATAGATCGATCTATCGATCAATCAACTAATCAACCGATCAAATCAATTCAAATCAAATCAATCCAATCAATCCAATCAATCCAATCAATCCAATCAATCCAATCAATCCAATCAATCCAATCAATCCATCAATCCATCAATCCATCAATCCATCAATCCATCCATCCATCCATCCATCCAATCAATCAATCAATCAATCAATCAATCAATCCATCAATCAACCAATCACGCAATCAAGCAATCAATCAACCAATCAAATCGAGAAATCAATCAAATCAAACAAATCAATGAAATCAATCAAATCAAATAAATTAAATCAATCAAATCTAATCTAATCAAATCAATCAATCCAATCCAATCAACCAATCAATGAATCAATCAAATCAAACAAATCAAACAATTCCATCCAATCAATGAAATCAATCAATCCATCAATCAATCAATCCATCAAACAATCAATCAATCCATCAAACAATCAATCAATCGATCAAACAATCAAACAATCAATCAATCAACCAGTCAGTCAATCAATCATTCAATCAATCAAATCGAACAGCCAATCAACGAAGCAATGCACCAATGAACGAACCAATCAATCCCATCGAATCAAAATAAAGAAAAACAATCCAGGCAGCCAGCCAATCAATCAATCAACCAATCAAACCAAACCAGCCGAGCAAGCAATCAAATCAAACCAGCCAACACACAGTCATCAATTAACTAATTACACCGACGCACCAATCAATCAAAGCGTACCCAGTCAACAAATCAATCAATCAAACAACCAATCAATCCAACCCAGTTCAATCCACCAGCCAACCAATCACTCAATCACCCAGTTAACCAACCAATTAACCGATCAACCAGTCAATCAACCAAAATATCAAACCAAGCCAAGTCAAGTCAAACCAAATCCGATCAACCAACCAAACAAGCAAGCAAAAAACGAACAAGCAAGCAAACCAACAGATAAACAAACAGCACAAAGGGAAACAAACAAACAAACACACGGGCAAAACACACAACCAAGAAAGCAAGCAAGCACGCGAGCAAGCCAGCCAGCCAGCCAGCAATCATAGGTTAGTTAACCCCCCCCCCGTATCCCCCCCCCCAAATGTCAAAATCTCAGTAAGACTCACCGAGTGTTGCTGAGCACTACTGAGCCCAGCAAGGATTTGGCATGTGTTGGGGGGGGGCGTTGCTTTCAATTTTGCATTGCTAAGCTGAATTGTTGAAGCTTGCCCTGGGCTCAAAGCGTCATTGCGTGCTACTAAATAGTTACTGAGCCTGGATCGCCCATGTGCTGTGTTCTTGGGGTTGAGAGGTCCTGGGTGCTACTGAGTGCTACTGAGTGTGTATACTGATCCGGGATTCCCAAAATGTGCTGTTTTGGGTTGTGATTGAGTGTTCCTGAGTGTTACTGAGTGCTACTGAGTGCTTACTGAGCCGGGATTTGAAAAATGTGCTGTTTTAGGTTGTGATTGAGTGCTACTGAGTGTTACTGAGTGTTACTGAGTGCTACTGAGTGTTACTGAGTGCTGCTGAGTGCTGCTGAGTGCTGCTGAGTGCCTTTTGTCTGCTACTGAGTGCTTTCTGAACGCTAGTGAGCGCTTGCTGATTGCTATTGAGTGCCTTTGAGTGCTACTAGGTCTGCATCCGCTGATGTTCAATTCCCAGGTGTTCAGTGCGCGGCGCAGTTGCAGCACAAATGACCGCTAAGAAAATGACAGCACACATAGGGATCATTACGGTTCCTACTACTCAGCAAGACTCAGTAGCACTCATGATCAATTTTGAGTGGTGGCTATGTCTTACTGAGAGCTGCTGAGCCTTGCTAGCACTCGAAGCAAAACACATGATTGAGCCTTACTAAGCCTTACTAAGCCTTACTAAGGCCTACTAAGGCCTACTAAGCCCTACTAAGCCCAAGATTCAAAATGAAAATGTTTCTTCATTGTTGGACCAGATGCCACTCAAAATCACATTTGAGGGGGGGGGGATACGGAGGGGGGGTTAACTAACCTATGAAGCAAGCCAGCCAGCAAGCAAGAAAGCAAACACACCTACAAACAAACCAGCAAAGCATATCAACTCAACCGCACAAACACAAACAAACAAACAAACAAACAAAAAACAAACAAGCAAAAACAGCACGACAAACAGGCAGGCAGGCAAGCAAGCAGCAGGCAGGCAGACGAACAAACAACAAAAACAAACAAGAGAGCGAGCAAACAGAAACAAACAAAAACAGGCAAGCAAGCAAGCAAGAACACAAACAAACCACACACACACACAACACACACGCTGTCACGCTCAGGTTTTGCCAGCGAAGACCAACCGCAAGCATCTGAAGAAGGCACAACGGTCTGTCTGAATGCGTTCCTCGTAACACTGATTTCCTAGCGCATCCCGCTCCTGCAGCTGAAGGCAGTTGTAAAGTGAGGCCACCTGGGAACATGTGCTCGGCTGGCCAGCACGATTAGTGCTATGCCACCTCTTTCAGCAATCGGACACTGTATGGCTGCAGCACCTGCCCCAAAGCAAGTGCAAGCAATCAAAGGCACCCAGTAGAAACCCTCCCCACTCCCACACGCAATAGCAGGCGAATCGCAGGCTTCCCGCCCAAAAGCTCAAGCCTAGCCGAGCCTGGAAAACCGCCCCAGCATTCTGCGGGTCGGCCATCCTCAGCATGGAAGCTCTGGAGTGGAAAGAAGACGTAGATGGCATGGCCATGCAAAAACCAAAGGTGCGAAAAGGCTCCAGGATCCCTAGAAGTTCACCTTCTGAGTGTGGAAAGGAAAAGGCACACTTTTTACCACTAAAATAGTCCTCCCACAATATTCCACCCACAAGCTGAGCCAGCACACCATTACAGCAGCCAGGGCCAGGCAAGCAGCGCAAGGCCAGCATTTTGCTCGTTGGGCCGAAGCCCACGTAAACACCGCAAGAATGACATTGACGATCAAACTTGGGGGATAGCGTGGTTTGCAACTAGCAAACAGCGCACCTCCGCTAAGCGTCTCGGGTAGCGCCTTTGCCCCGTCCGGAAGGATGGTCAGGAGGGCTGGCGAACTGATGCGTGGAGCAATGCCTGAAACATGGTCTCGTCTTTCAATGCAGCACAGGGCGCGCAACAACGGTTGCTGGCAAAAGCCTGCCTCTTGCATTTCTGAGCAAGGGCCTAATGGGCACAGCTACGCACGCACGACAGAGCACCCCAGCAGAACACCAACAGCATGCAATAAGCACGTCAACAAGGTGAAGGACGAGCAGATACCCCGTAGGGCGCGCTACTGCAGGCCAGGCGCCATTCCAGCACAACACGTGAAAGCTTCTGAACAAGCTCAAACAAACATTTTCCCGATAGAAACTGATGTGAGAAGCGCATCTCCAGTTGGAGATATTCGTTGTCACACTGAAAACAATAAATACTACCTTCTTTGGCCATGGTCGGAAGGCCGAGAGGGTATGACTTTGCCAGCGGCGGCGTACCACACAATGTTTCAAGAAAAAATGGTTTCTTTTTTTCGCGTGAAGACTGCTTTGCAGCCAAGTTCTTGAACATTGACTTGTGAACATCTTGTTGCCCGCTTAGAGGATCATTTGCATAGAGATTCGCAACTTGTTTTGAACAAAGCTTGGAGCCTGTCTGCAAGCTCAAAAGCCGACAGCACCGTAAGATACCGTAAGCTTCCCAACCAGTCCGCTCGGCCAGTGCGGGGCGGGCTCTTGTCCGCTTAACTTGAGGTCGAAAGACAGTCGGTGCATTCGGAGAGATATGGCCGTTGGCAATTTCAAACAACTGTTTCGTTGCCAGTCCCCTCGCTGTTTAACAGATCTGGAATGTGACAGCACCGGAGACACAAATGAGAATGGACATGTTCAGGAAGGGAGGGGCCCCACTGAAACCACCAGTTCCAAGGTCACGTCCAAGGGGTCGAATCTGGGGGAAACTGACTTTGACCTACCTAAACAACTTGGCCAGGCTTCGGCCCCAATCACAAAAATAATGATGGTTAAACAAAGTCAACTGGACAAAACTCAAAGGGGCAAAAGCGCAAAAAGTTTTTTGATTCTGGCAATGACATCAGCCTGGGGGGCCCACTGAGGGCCTCATGCAGCGTGCCGGCGGGCTGGGGCACAGACAAGTCCAAGGTGCTATCCTCGGGCCATCAAATCGTGAAGTACAGCCAGAGCGGACTCTCTTGGACATGGTTTGCCTAGAAATCCGAAAGGGCCCTTGGAATTATAGATCTTTGACTCTTAGCGGCAGGCCTTTGCAACGTTGCTGACCACCCTTAGCAACCCCCAGGCAGTCAGGTCTTCCTGACCATGTGCCGCTCTCGTCAAGCAATGCGCAGCCTAAGCCCGAACAAACTTTCACAACTACTGCAACCTCAGCGACCTCTTATCCTCCACTCCAAGCTTTGATTTGGACTCATAATTGGAGGTCGGAGAGTGGTTTCCTACTTGCCCTCAACATGCCAAAGCCACCAATTTCAGGGAGCCGAAGCTCGGCTCCTGTTGCACCCCCGCCCCCCCCCCCCCGCCCCCAAGAGGCTTCCAACGCAGCAAATTCATGACACTGCCTTTTCTACCTCCAATGGGAGCGCGCGGGCACAGCACTGATATGGCCATCCATGTTCACGAAGGGACCCAGCTCGAGATGATCCAGCTGGACCAAGGACCTTGCAACAGCAAACGTCAGGACTGGAAGCCCCCCGGCAGCAGATCATGCTTTGGCCGGCCACAAACGAATGAACAAAACTCTGGTGGCCATGGAGCAACGACAACTCCGAGCTACTGTACTGCCTTGATGCGTCACAAGGCGAACAAACCAACGCGTCTTCCGAAAGCAAGTTTGCGTTGTCGCTTATCCCGGACCACAGAGAAGTACACGTCGTCCAAAGCCTTCAATAAGGTGACCTTCATCAAAAAGCAACCTATAGCTTGCCCAGAAATGGGCGATCATTGGAAGCCACATCTTGCTGTGATGTTCATAGTTCCTCTGATAGGGGTGCTCACGAACACAAATCCTGATTCACCCCTATGAGGCATCATGCCTGAAGCTTGGGCTCTGGGGTGATACACAATTGCTCGAAATGTGTTGAGAGGAAAACAACGTGGGCAAACCTGCTTAACAACAGCTGGGAACAATGCAATCTGTCACGGCGGGAACCTCTTCGGCGAAGCGTGGCCGGAAAAGAGACCCCCAGTTTTCACACACGGGCATGTGTGGATCGATGCATGCTGAACATTGTTGGGAACCCCCTCCTTCCAACACATGAAAGTGGACATGAGGCCATCTCAAAAACCACAGTAGTCTTCCAACATCCTGCGACTGTCTACGATGGACGGATGGCAGGTTTTCTCCTCATGATGTTTGCTTCTCTGGGTTCCTGACGCGCCGACCAAGCGGGGATCGCCAGTTTGAGAAACTTGCCACATCAAGAACCAACCCGAAAAGAGCCAGCAAGCAAGCAAAATGGCATCTTAACAAGCAAGCCTCAAATGCAGCTAGAGCGCAAAACCTGAAACTCCGCCAGAATCACCCAGCCAGCCTCCCGGAGCCAGCCTAGGCAACTGCAGGCGTGCCTCTTTGTGTTGACGGTGGTCTTAACTTTTCAGGTTGCCTCAAAACTTGACGGAAGAAGACCCAAAGAACCCTCCCCATGTTGTGGAATCCCTGATTTTGAGACACACCAAGGAAGACCAAAAGAAACAATGCCTATTTGAGGGATCCTTGATTTAGAGACACAAACCAGCATGGCCACCTTATCCCCCTTGAGTTTGTTGTTTCGGGGGGTGGCTTGGGACTCTGAACCCCGGTTTCTTCTGAAACCGAATGGGAGGTCCCCTCCCCACCCAAAGGAGATGCTACAACACCATCCAGAGCAGGGAGTGACCCTGGTTTACCATCGGCGGTGCCCCAGGGTTCCACATCGCTCGTTTTCAAACATCCCGCTGAACATTGCATGGCACAAGCCCAAGCTTTAAAACCAGCGAAGCGGGAAGCAGACTTTCTGCAAAACCAGAGGCACAAATCCAATGTTCTCAAGAATATGGAACTGGAACCTGGCCTTTTGGGTCCCCGATCAAATGGAACTTTGCGCGCATCGGGCCAAGGCCACTCGCCGTCTGCCGCGGGGCGCAGAAGGTCCCGGTGGATCCAGCGGGTGTGGGTGGACACGTGCAGGCGCCGCACCTGCTGCGCCAGCCAGCCAGCCATGCCGCGGAGCATCCCGTGCCTCATCCCGACGGCCCAGGATTCAAGAACTGCAACCCAGCTGCCCAGTGACCTTGATTAAAAAAAGGAAGGGATCGTCTTTCCTTCATTGTTCATTCTTGGATTGGGAAACAAAGCTGCTTTTATTCCGGAATTTGGCTTATTGTTGGGAAAGCTAAATCTTATGACCTGATTAGTCGCAGTACCATGAACAGGCTGGAAGTAAGGAATCTCCAAATACGTGACTTGCAGCATGGGTAAGCTCGGCCCCCTAATGTAAGCTCCTTTCTAAGAACGAGTACTCACCCTGAATTCCAGGCTGAATTCCAGTAAAAAAAATGCTCTTACCAAGCTGTCGTCCTGTGTAAATCGCTGGACCCCCATGAGATCCCAAGGCTCCCAGACATGGCTCCTCAAAGGGGCTGCTGAGCCTGCAACTTGTCTTCTGAAAATGGTGCAAGGCTTCGTAAGGGTTGCAGAGAGCTTTCAAAAATGGGGTGACAAAGCTGAAGCAATTTCTCTAAACAGCAATCAAGGGAACATGAACCCCACAAAGGTGCCTGCGTGAAGTTCTGTCTTGCAGTTGTGCAGCTCTGGCTACTCCGCCCACCCAAACCGAAAAACAGCGAAGCAGCTCTGCGCCCTGCGCATCGATGTCTACGAGGTCCCAGGGCTCTCCAGCCAGCAGTGCCTTGCCAAGAGAAGAAACCAAACCACTGCCCTGTTCCAGACGCCACTAAACTTGTGCAGAACGTCCCACTGCAACAATGTACCCCTCTTTAACCCGAAAGCGTCTACCTTTGCAGGAAGGTTCAAACATTGTTTGTTCCCGGGCCCGGATCACATTCTTTTCTGCCACCCAACTCACCAAACACAATCGCAACACGGCTAGCTCAAGCGCCCAGTTGACCTACACCTTTTACAATTCAGGGCAATTCCACGTCACACTTGACCCTACCCCGGCGTTGGCAGGGTCACAGCCGACAGAGATTGAGGTAGGGTCAAATTGCGCCCGATCTTCCATTCTGGCCGTTCAGCTTGCAAAAATGAGGTGATATCGATGCGAACGGCAACCTTCGCTGTGGGCGCATCGCGCCGAATCACCTTCCTGCCTACTACTACTACTACTACTACTACTACTACTACTACTACTACTACTACTACTACTACTACTACTACTACTACTACTTCCGGCTTGCGAAGTAAGCAAATGGCGCTGAACTGACCCTGCAACACTGCAATAATATATCGGCCTGCTTTCCACAATGATACAGGCAATTGAATTGAATGAGCGCCCGCATTTGAATACTGGTCTCACAGCACGTTGGGCACAACTGCCCAGTACGCATGCTACAGTCCCCAAAAAGCCTACAGATTTACCCTCCCTGCTTCCACTTTGCCGCTTCAGCATCTGATCCCCTGAAGAGGCACTTGAGCCGCGCTCAAGCTGTTGATATTTGGATCTACTAACAAGGTTCGTATCGCTTTAATTCGGCATTGCTGCCATGCTGTAGGCCCGAGGACAACAAATAGAAGAACCAAATTAATGCCAATAGGATGCTGCTTTGGCAAGTGCCCTCCAAATGTGGCGGGAAGTGCAGAACTGGCGTGCAACGGGGCTGTTGCTAAGTTCCAAGCAGAGCCGGGCTGCTTTGAGATCCGCGCCGCTATGGACAGGCTTTGTGTCCATCGTGATGTTGCAACGCCCCTCCTTGGATGGGCTCCCTGGTTGGCACCAGGTTTCAGGCGCAGTACTATTTGGGGAGGAAAGGGGTAGTAGGCGGATTGCACTGTTGACAGGTTGCCGAACTCAGGCTTGCCAAAAGCGAGAATTGACGAGGGATGTTTAAAGAAGTGGGCAAGAATCGTAAGACCTTTAAACAATAGGCTTGGAAGAGTTGCAAGGGCGTGCAAGCGCTGAGGGCCGTTTGAAGGGTTGCAAGAGAATGGAAGCGCCCAAATCAGGCTCCGGTACTAAGGCTGAAATAGACCTTCGTGGGCCCTTTCGCATGCCGAGCAGCGGGGATATTGACCTGCAGGTGGCGGTCAAGAGAAGAACCATCGCCTGCAACCCAGGGCGGGCAAGGCTACTCAAAGCGGGTAAGGGTACTCTGGGCAGAATACATCGCCTTGGAACGCAATCAATTTGTCAAAGTGCTTCGCTTCAGTCACAGGTTCCAGACCGCCAAGCCAGGAAGGTTGATAGCCCAAAATAGGTCACACAATCAGAGCTTGACTTCACCAAACATTCAGGGACCCACCCACCCACTACACCCACACCAACACCCACACCAACACCCACACCAACACCCACACCAACACCCACACCAACACCCACACCAACACCCACACCAACACCCACACACCCTCCCACGCGTCACCCACCCACACGCACATCCACACACACACACAAACACGACACCCTCATGACATAGACATGCATAAGCAACTTGATGGCAGTATCTGCAGTCATCGAGTCAAGAGGGGCAAGAGCACCTTTCTGCAACCATCCAGGCCATGTTTAAAGAACTGTCAATGTCATCCAAACAATTACTGCGAAGCTTACCAGACATGAAGCCATCTTGCTCATCATGGATATCATGGATCTGCCTCAATTCCCCCTTCGGCATCGTTGACAAATCGCATGCCCGTCCCAACCTGAGCAGTTTTTGGGCGCGTGGAATTGCATAACGGTCATGCTTTCCCTTCAAACTTCCCCGCTCAGAGCCCCAAACACACTGGATCCCCAGGCCTTGCCTCGATCAAAGGGTTCCACCAACAGCACCTCGCAGGATGCATGTGCCGATGCCGCCCGGAGAAATGCCTTGGCAGCGCCTGAGAGAATGTGCGTGAGGTCAATGATAGGCGGACAGCTTGGCCGTTTCCACGGAATTCTGTTGCCCCCAAACCACGGCTCCAGCTGCTCTTCGCTGTCTG